GTATCCGCAAGATAGCGGGTAAGTTCGTTCCCGATGTTTCACCGGTCCTTCACCTCCATGATACTCTTGTGGCGGACCCGTTGCAGGTCGCTTCCGAAATGGGTTCCCACTTTTCTTCTGTTAGCTCTGGTCTTCATCTTCCCCAATCTTTCCTTCTTCGTAAACCTGTCCTTGAGTCTCGTCCTTTAGATTTCTGCACTCATCTTCAGCTTCCCTATAATGATCCCTTCTCTCTCTCTGAACTTCGTTCTGCCCTGGCCCTCTGCGGTTCTATGGCGGCGGGCTCCGATGGTATTCATTATGAGATGCTTCGCCATCTCCCTCCGAGCACGTCTCAGTATTTACTGAGTCTGTATAATCGGATCTGGGAGTTGTCGTCAGTCCCTGAGGACTGGCTCGATGCCGTTGTCCTCCCTGTTCGCAAACCGGGGTCTCTGGGTACTTCCCCTAAGGACTTTCGCCCTATTGCTCTCACAAGTTGTGTCTGCAAACTCTTTGAACGTATGGTTAACGTTCGTCTGATGTGGTTCCTGGAACACCATCACCTCCTCTCCCCTTCTCAATTTGGTTTCCGCAAGTGCCGCAGCACGACAGATGTCCTGGTGAACTTGGAGGTCTATATTCGTACTGCTTTTGCTGCGAAGACCTCCGTTGTTGCCGTCCTTTTTGACCTGGAAAAGGCTTACGACACCACTTGGCGTTATCATATCCTATCTCAACTTCATTCTTTTGGCCTTCGTGGTCATCTCCCTCTCTTTCTCCGCGGCTTCCTCTCTCGTCGTTCCTTTTGGGTGCGCCTTGGTACCGCTCTCTCCCCCTCTTTTCAGCAATACGAAGGTGTGCCCCAGGGTAGTGTTCTGAGCACTACTCTTTTTCTGGTTGCCCTCAATGGTCTTCTTTCCTCTCTTCCTTCTGGTGTCTTCTCCGCTCTCTATGTCGATGATCTTACCCTTTGTTGTCAGGGTGATGATTCGCCTCTCCTTCAACGCCGGCTTCAACTTGCAATTGATGCCGTGTCGTCTTGGGCCACTGATCATGGCTTCAAGTTCTCTACTTCTAAGACTTGTGCCATGACTTTTACGCGGAAACGGGTTGTTCTTCGTCCCTCTTTGTCACTTTATGGTCATCCCCTTGAATACAAAGATTCCGCGAAGCTTTTGGGGTTATTCCTTGACACTCGTTTGCCTTGGTCTCCCCATATCTCTTACCTCCGTGTTGAGTGCTCTAAGGCCCATACCCTCCTTCGGGTCTTGTCCCATACTTCTTGGGGGGCAGATAGGCGCAGTCTCCTTGCTTTACATTCCTCTCTCGTCCTGTCTAAGCTCGATTATGGTTGCCGTGCTTACTCGTCTGCTTCTTCTACTCTTCGCCGTCTTGATGCTTTGCACCATACTGGGTTGCGCCTCAGTTCTGGTGCCTTTCGTTCGACTCCCGTCCTTAGCTTGTATGTTGACACTGGCTTCCTGTCTCTCCAGGACCACCGTGATCGCTACTGTCTTCGCTATCTTGCGCGGTCCTTGCAACATCCTTCCTCTCGCCTCTGTCGTGCTTTAACTTTTACCCCTCCTGCGGTTCCTGTTCCTCTTCACCACCTCCCTCTTTCTGTCCGGTTATCTCGCCTGCAGGATTCTCTTTCCGTTCGTATTTCTGATGTTTCTCCTCGTGTTGTTCCTTCTTTGCCCCCGTGGAGGGTCCCTCTTCCGCGGTTTTGTACATCCTTGACCCGTTTCACTAAAGCTTTTACCCCTCCTACGGTTCTAAAACGCCTTTTCCTCGAGCACTTTTCTTCTCACTCCTGCTCCGTTTCTGTCTTCACCGATGGGTCTAAGTCAGCGGACGGTGTTGGCTACTCTGTTGTTTTTCCTGATCGCACTTATATGTGTCGCTTGCCTCCGGAGACTAGCGTCTTTACAGCGGAACTTTATGCTATTCTCTATGCTCTTCGTCTCCTGCTTTCTCGTTGTCAGTCTTCCTTTGTAGTTGTTGTTGACTCTCGTAGTGCCCTCATGGTTCTCGGGTCCTTTAATCCGGTTCATCCAGTGGTTGTCGAGATCCAGCATTGGCTGTTTCTCGTTCACAGTAAATTTAAGTCGGTTGAGTTTTGTTGGGTTCCCAGCCATATTGGTGTGTCTTTAAATGAGCGTGCGGATGCTGCCGCCAAGGAAGCTGTCCGCTCTTGTCCCATCTCTCGTAAGGGCATTCCGTATTCCGACTTTTACCCGGTTATCCATTCCTCAGTCTTTACCCGTTGGCAGGCTTCTTGGTTGTCTGTTACTGGTAACAAGCTCCGTACTCTTAAATGTTGTGTTTCCTTGTGGCAGTCCTCCTTCCACCGTAACCGGCGGTGGGAAACAGCTCTGGCGAGGTTGCGTATTGGCCATACTCGCTTAACCCATGGTCACTTGATGGAGCGCCGCCCTGCTCCTTATTGTCCTAGTTGCATTGTCCCTCTTACGGTCGTGCATGTCCTTCTTGAATGTCCTGACTTCCAGGACGAGCGTGTGTCTTGCTTTCCGACCGCCCCTCGCGGTCACCTGTCCCTCGATAGAATTCTTGGTGACTCGGATACTTTTGATATCGTTCGCCTTATGCGTTTTTGTTCTCGTATTGGCATCCTTGGTGATATTTAGCGCCCTCTGATTATTTTGCGTATTTGATGGTGCTACATAGCCTTCCCGGTTTGGTGCCTTCTTTTGATAATTACTTACTTACTTACTTTGGACAACACCCACCAGTGGGCCTCGAACCCAGAAAGCACAACTACCTTCCAGTAGCTGCCATAACTAGTACGCTTTAACCCACTACACCATCAGACCCTACAAAAGAAGTAGAGACTTCGAGATATATATACACCTCAAATATCTCCACTTCCCGAGGGCACTAGACAAGTGTGAGGTTAGTCTGCGTTTTTCATCAAGCCACTGTCAATGTGAGAGAACTCGTGTCCATGCTATAAGCCTATACTTGCATAAACCACAAGTGAAGATTAACAATCTTTGGACAACACCCACCAGTGGGCCTCGAACCCAGAAAGCACAACTACCTTCCAGTAGCTGCCATAACTAGTATGCTTTAACCCACTACACCATCAGACCCTACAAAAGAAGTAGAGACTTCGAGATATATATACACCTCAAATATCTCCACTTCCCGAGGGCACTAGACAAGTGTGAGGTTAGTCTGCGTTTTTCATCAAGCCACTGTCAATGTGAGAGAACTCGTGTCCATGCTATAAGCCTATACTTGCATAAACCACAAGTGAAGATTAACAATCTTTGGACAACACCCACCAGTGGGCCTCGAACCCAGAAAGCACAACTACCTTCCAGTAGCTGCCATAACTAGTACGCTTTAACCCACTACACCATCAGACCCTACAAAAGAAGTAGAGCCTTCGAGATATATATACATCTCAAATATCTCCACTTCCCGAGGGCACTAGACAAGTGTGAGGTTAGTCTGCGTTTTTCATCAAGCCACTGTCAATGTGAGAGAACTCGTGTCCATGCTATAAGCCTATACTTGCATAAACCACAAGAAGATTGTTAATCTTCACTAGTGGTTTATGCAAGTATAGGCTTATAGCATGGAAACGAGTTCTCTCACATTGACAGTGGCTTGATGAAAAACGCAGACTAACCTCACACTTGTCTAGTGCCCTCGGGAAGTGGAGATATTTGAGGTGTATATATATCTCGAAGTCTCTACTTCTTTTGTAAGGTCTGATGGTGTAGTGGGTTAAGGCGTACTAGTTATGGCAGCTACAGGAAGGTAGTTGTGCTTTCTGGGTTCGAGGCCCACTGGTGGGTGTTGTCCAAAGATTGTTAATCTTCACTTGTGGTTTATATATATATATATATATATATATATATATATATATATATATATATATATATATATATATATATATATATATATATATATATATATATATATATATATATATATATATATATAGGTACTGTACTGTAAGAATTTAAAACCAAAGGATCAATGCACGAATGTTCGTAATAAGGCAAATAGGACACTGAGATTTATTAATCGAAGCGTTAGTAACAAGACACCTGGTGTGGTTCTTCAGCTATATCTTGCTCTGGTTAGGCCCCATTTAGATTATGCAGTTCAGTTTTGGTCGCCGTACTATAGAATGGATATAAATTCACTTGAACGTGTCCAGCGTAGGATGACTAAGTTATTTCCCCAAATTAGAAATCTTTCATATGAAGAAATATTAACAAGGCTTAAATTGCATTCACTGGAAAGGTGAAGAGTTAGGGGTGACATGATAGAGGTTTACAAGTGTTACACGAAACAATGGGTATAAAATGGATAAGTTTAGATTTAGGAAAGACGTGGGTATATACTGGTTCGGTAACAGGGTTGTTCATTTGTGGAACCAATTACCACGTAATGTGGTGAAGGTGGGGTCCCTCGATTGTTTCAAGCGTGAGTTGGACATGTATATGTGTGGGATTGGGTGGTTATAGATAGGAGCTGCCTCGTATGGTCAATAGGCATTCTGTAGTTACCTTTGTTCTGATGTTCTTATATTGGGACTGACAATATCTACACCTGATAATGGAGCTGATAATGTCCTCGCCTTATAATGGGGATAACACTGTCCTCAGGACATTATGGGATCATCATGTGAAAATGGGGCTGACACTCTCAGCAGGTGATATTGAGGCTGACACTTTTCACAGGTTACACAGGGCTGACACTGTCCTCGTGTTATGATGGAATTGACACTTACCACAGGTGATAATGGGGTTGACACTGACCACAGGTGATAATGGGGTTGACACTGACCACAGGTGATAATGGGGTTGACACTGACCACAGGTGATAATGGGGTTGACACTGACCACAGGTGATAATGGGGTTGACACTGACCACAGGTGATAATGGGGTTGACACTGACCACAGGTGATAATGGGGTTGACACTGACCACAGATGATAATGGGGTCTACACTGTCCACAGGTTGAGGACCTCCGCAGGATGAGGGAGCCCGTGAAGAGGCTGGTGGAGGCTGGCCGGGTGTTGGCCGTCCAGGAAGACAACGATGGCCGCCATACAGCCAGGATAACTCTACAAGACGGACAGCTGTACCTCCACCCACTCTTGCGACAGCCCACGCCTGCCCACGCCCACACCCTCCCGGTAAGTCTTTTTTTACCCACTAGACTCTATTGATATTACTGCCTTACTGAGTTTAGATAACATGATATAAATTCATTATAGAGTTATCAGCATGATTTTATTTCATTTTCTGCAGGAGAATGAAGTGGTGGGGATGCTGGACCCCTCCTGCACCCTGACGTTCCTTGACCTCGGGTGGGCGGGGTCAACAAGAGGGCGCGTCACCATCCGGCTGACCCCTGACACTCCGCTGGCCAGACAGTTTGTGTTGTTGTGTACGGGCCAGCGGGGCCACACCTACCGCAACACTAAACTGTTGGGGGTGATGAATAAGGGTCAGCAGTGGGAGTACGTGGTGGGTGGTGACTACGAGAGTAATGATGGTAAGGGAGGAGCCCCACTGCTGCCTCACCTCCAGGGGCAGTACTGGGAGTCAGGTAGAGCAGGAACTGTTGCTTGTGCGTGGCCGCGGGCGTTAGACAAAAGAGCTCAGTTCATCATCACCACCAGGGAGCGCCAGGATGGTTTAAAGTTCTCAGGTGTCTTCGGTGAGGTGGTGAGCGGTCTGGATGTGGTGAGGGCAGCAGTCAACCACACTGACATCAGGGAGGTGACTGTGGTGGACTGTGGTGTTGTGCTACCACTATAGTTTACAGTACCACCACCTATCACTACTGTGGGTGAACAAGTGCTGCCACTTGTTCACTGTTCCACGATCACCATCAGTGTCTATGGTGTGCTATCACTCTAGTTCACTGTATCACCATCACTACTGTAATGTTGTGCTGCCACGCAAGTTCACTGTACTACCATCCATCACTACTCTTCCGTTGTGCTGCCACTGTAGTACCATCCATCTCCATCACTTCTCCTGTGTTGTGCTGCCACTGTAGTACCATCCATCTCCATCACTTCTCCTGTGTTGTGCTGCCACTGTAGTACCATCCATCTCCATCACTTCTCCTGTGTTGTGCTGCGACTGTAGTACCATCCATCTCCATCACTTCTCCTGTGTTGTGCTGCCACTGTAGTACCATCCATCTCCATCACTTCTCCTGTGTTGTGCTGCCACTGTAGTACCATCCATCTCCATCACTTCTCCTGTGTTGTGCTGCCACTGTAGTACCATCCATCTCCATCACTTCTCCTGTGTTGTGCTGCCACTGTAGTTAGTTCACTGTACCACCACCCATCATCACTGTAATATTATATTTACCTCATTACTACTGCTATTTTACCATCACTGCTATTTTACCATCACTGCTATTATACCAACACTGCTATATTACCATCACTGCTATATTACCATCACTGCTATATTACCATCACTGCTATATTACCATCACTGCTATATTACCATCACTGCTATATTACCAACACTGCTATATTACCATCACTGCTATATTACCATCACTGCTATATTACCATCACTGCTATATTCCCATCACTGCTATATTACCATCACTGCTATATTACCATCACTGCTATATTACCATCACTGCTATATTACCATCACTGTTATATTACCATCACTGCTATATTACCATCACTGCTATATTACCATCACTGCTATATTACCATCACTGCTATATTACCAACACTGCCATATTACCATCACTGCTATATTACCATCACTGTTATATTACCATCACTGCTATATTACCATCACTGCTATATTACCATCACTGCTATATTACCATCACTGCTATATTACCATCACTGCTATATTACCATCACTGCTATATTACCATCACTGCTATATTACCATCACTGCTATATTACCATCACTGCTATATTACCATCACTGCTATATTACCATCACTGTTATATTACCATCACTGCTATATTACTATCACTGCTATATTACCATCACTGCCATATTACCATCACTGCTATATTACCATCACTGCTATATTCCCATCACATAACAATCACTGTTATATCCTCTTCACCTTACTCAGGATCTATCACTGCTATATTACCAACACTGCTATATTACCATCACTGCTATATTACCATCACTGCTATATTACCATCACTGCTATATTCCCATCACATAACAATCACTGTTATATCCTCTTCACCTTACTCAGGATCTACACTTGGGATCATATACGACCATATTCCAATAACAGACTTCTGGTGTAAGCACATGAGAGCTGTAGCCAAGTTGTCATGTATAGAGTTTCATGTATAGATATAGCACTATAGATCATATTTCATGATCTATAGTGCTATCTGTTGCGTCAAGATAATTTTTATTATTTTTAGCATTATACGTTGACGACCTAACTGTTATATTCCAACTTCTGACTGGCATATATTCTGAATTATATGTTGACTGTTTTAACCCAAGACACATTAGTAAGGCACGTGCTGTTGTTATAGTCATTTATTATTTAAAGTAGCCTGACAATATTATGATATATATCTTGGGGTGGCAATTAAAAGAACTGTTTATAAATATAACAACACCAGTTTACTGGGTGAAGGGGTAACACAAAAACAAATTTAATCAGAAATAATTTTATAGCAGAAATGAATATAATTAATCACTTCTGGGCTAATGATCCCCGACTCAATAACAATCTACAGATGGCTTATAATATAAATACTTGACTACCCAGATGCACTAATCAACAAATAAGTACAATAACCAAACACACAAAGAATAAACCAATAATGCAGCGACCCAGATCAAACACCTCAGCTACTGACTCGCCCTACACTCCTCCCACACACAAACACTTGCCTCAATCATAATAGCCACACACTTTGGACAAGAATTCCTAACAAACACACTACATATGGAAGTAATCACTCGTTAACCGGTAAAAACATAAGTATGTAATATCCTGTACAATCTAGACAATATCAAAGTACTAAAGCAGCCTGGTTCATTCGTAACATCCCTCCTTCTCCCAGAAGAAAAAAAAAATTAATTTGAAGATTAATTGCATTTTTTACTAGAGGCAAGTACAGTAGTTAGTACTCAACCACTATGTATGAATGAACTGAAAAAATAAATCTTAAAAGAAAACACACATTATATGACAGAATCCTCCCACATTAGGCCCTATCAGTTTGGAATCCTCTGTATAAAGCATCTGCAATCTCACTATGCGTACAAGAAATACGTTTAATCACTAAATTGAATTCCTGCAGGACTAAAGACCATCTTAGGATTCTCTGGTTTTTACACTTCAACTAATTAATAAAAATGAAAGGTTTATGATATGTAAATGCTACTACTTTATTACCTGACAGATAAGTTCCAAATTTCTTACAGCCCATATAAGACAAGGTGTTTCTTTCTCCACAACAGAATAATTCCTGAGCTTTATCAAATTTGCATGAGGAATAATACACTGGGTGTTCTTCATCATCAGATCCTACTTGAAAAAGAACTGTTCCAGCTCCTAAATTAGAAGTGTCAATATGCGTATTAAATGGTTTATCATACTGAGGACAGGCTAACACAGATGAAGTTCAAAGAATTCCTTTCTAACTATTAAAAGAAGTCTGACACTCTTGAGTCCACTTAAATTTCACTTATTTTGCATAAAAGATTTATTAAAGGAGCAGCAGCCATTGAAAAAAATTAAACAACGACGACAATAAGCACGCATTTCAGTGAATCTCTGAACTGCTTTCTTACTGGTCAACACTGTGTACTCCACTATTGCTTCAATCTTGTCTTGCAACGGTGATATTTTTCTTTGCACGACCTCATGACCCAAGTAAATTATAGTTCCCTGAGCCCTGTTACAGTTACTCATATTAATAGTTCAATTTGCATTTTGTAACACCTCTGTGAGAGTACGGTCGCTCAAGACTCTCCCACAGCTGACTTGAATGGCTCATTGCTGTGCACAGTGCACCGATCTTCGTGCACAAGCCTTATCTCTGTTAACCCTGGATAGTAATCTGTCATGTTGGGTATCTACAGAATGCCCACTTAACCAAGAACACGTTTATAATACGGAGGCCGCCGTATGTCCAGTGTCGTGACGCTGAACCCCGGTTCATTCCGAACACAGCGATTACACAACACATATCACCTTGCCTCAGCAACCGTTACTACCACCGTGTACTCCTACACACACCAGACCCTTGAGGCGTACCACTAGGTTTGTACTGGAACACAATGAGTGAACATATGGAAGGTATTTAAAGGCCGTCGGGTTTTGTCATTTAATTACAAAGAATAGACACTGACAAATAATACCATATTAACATACTCTATTAGGTCAATACACTTCCAATACCCATAGACCACTTGACCCCCACGGTCACCACTTGCACTCGTAACTTCCGCCTAAGTCCCTAATACGGAATGATTACTACAACGCTCCACACCCGGTTAGTCTTACATTCAATACTCACATACTGCAGACTTAACTTGGTCACTAAGATCACATCAGGCTCTCGCATAGCTGTCTGCTACACTTCGCTGCTGCCACAAACGGAGACCACTCCACTCCCACAACAAGACTGTCTCCAGTCCACCATGGCCTCAAACATTTCACCACGCCTCTCAAGGAAGGTATAATCCGATTAACCTTATCCCTAGAAGCGGTAACCTAGTTCCTAGAAGCCTGAGTCCTCTTTCCAGGAATTATTAGTTTGGCTAAGCAGCTGCGGTCTTAATCCCTTGACCTTTCTTGGATATGTGATCCATAGTCTGTCTACTTAACATGTACTTCCAATCATCATTCGTTAAGTGTTGTAGTAATGATCCTCTAGCTAATAATCCCTACTAACTTGTGGATTACAACACCACTCCCCTCCTTAAACACGCATATGTCCCCATATGCATCACTGCAATGGTTCCATTAGTGCAAGGACCTGGAGGATGCACCCACCATATATATACAACTAAAAATTCATCTAATAAGTTCATCATGCACACGATGAACTAATTTAAAATTTTCCCCGACATGACTCACAACACTTCTCCAACATATACATTGTATTCACATCATAGCACAGGTAAAATAGTCTGTAATAATTTTTCCCATCTCCAACAATGCACATATACCTAAACTGCTGACATATAATTACATACAAACATAATCATAAAATTACATGAATCAGAATGCTGGCACTTAAACAGAAATGACACTAGTTATTAATATATACACAACACATATATATCTAAGGTTCTTCATCCTTAGTAACAAGTTAATAACAATTTATCATCTTGCCCTGTACTGTTGACATAAGGGCTTAAAATGATCACACAATGTTTCACTGGCCTCCTCCACAATTGGCAGCATCACTTCTCTTGTCTTCGTGTCCCATGGTTGCTAGGTCATAGATCCTCCATGACCTAGACAAAACCCAGGCTTTCCAGCCTGGTGAATGTTGTCAATGTCCCATCGTTGCTCTGAGCTAACGTGATCCTGGCCTCCAGAGCAACGGAGTTTCCTACCCCAGGGTCATGTTCCCTAGGGTCTATGCTGCCGTCTCGTTCCAGGGCACCAACCCCAGAACGCTGTAGATACCTCACAGCTCTCTGGTCATCCTTCCTTGCTGTGCTCACCACAGCTGTAGCACATTACTCTAGGCCTATCTGCCCAGAGTGTGTCCACCTTTATCCACACCTTCCCGACCGCTGTTCCTGCAAAATATTCCCTCGGAGCCCCT